AGGCGGGAATCGAACTCATGCGGAAATGGCTTTAGCTTCTCAGTGCAGTGCTTTAACCCGCTGCGCCACCAGGGAGGGCCAGGTACTGTATAATTTTTAAGAAATAGAATTTTAAGGATTTTTACTAACTTCTAGCTTTAATGATAGAAAATGTATAGGGCTAAACTTGTATGACTTATTTGAGGAATTTATTGAAATTATACTTTAGCCTGTTATAGAACCTGTTGTAAATAATCCATGAGCATTTGGACAGAATTTTCATTCTCCCTTTACATTTATTAACTAAGACATTGACTAAAGTCTTCAAGTACTGGTTTCTTAAATAACTTTCTTAAGACTATTTACTCACACAATTAAAAAGTAATGTTTTAGTCCATTTAATAATTTTTAAATTCCTTTTTGTTTAAAGTTCTAGTTTGGCACTTTTACATTAATTTAGGAACAACTATTTTCTGTTTATTTGAATTTCTATATTTTGTGTTTGTTCAATTTGTTATTTTTAAGGTCAGTGAGTCAGCCTGTTTTAGGTATTTGTCTGATAGCATATAATTAAAATTTATTTAGATAGCTTGAAAACTTTTCTCTGTTTTAACCCATTTATATTTATTGTTGTAACAGGAATTTCTTTCTTGCTTTAGCCATTTATGTTACACAATTTGAATAATTTCATGCTAGTTCTTCAAAAATGAATTTTCTGTATCCTATTTTCTCTCTCTTTCTTTTTTTTCAATTTACTTTGCTTTGTTTCCTTTGCATTACTATAAAAATCCTCCCAATCTTCTATAGTAAGGCCTTCTGTTGACTTCTTTCCTGTGGAATGAGGCAGCTACCATGTTTCATTTCTGCAAACCTTCCCCCCACCCCTTGCACAGTTTTGTTAGTTAAGTATGCCTGAAGGACCCTGTTATCTTAATTAGCCCCTCATTCCAGCATGTTGTTGTGCTGGTGTCAGCTGTTCTATGTTTGGTGTTACTGTCATCCTCAAGTCACGTTACATAATTCCCAGGCAGTCACATGTTGTCTCGGTGGTAGGTCTTACCACCAAAGTTAGCTGCCTATCCATTACCACCCTCTCCACCAGTTCCCTGCTCATTTATTATTGTTGTTGAAACACTAGAGCCCACCAAGTTTACTGATCTCTGAATCCACAAATCTGGACTGACCAAACGGACTGCAAAAGGTTTCTACATACATGTTTCTTATTGATCTCATTGCCCACCTCACATTCCATCTACAGGCTTAGGTTGAGGAGTAACAGGTAGGAGGAAGAGGATTCATTTTGTAGGATATTGAGGTGGGGGAAATGATAAGCCACAGAGATTTGAATCAGTAATAGCATTGAGAGTCAACTAGTTTTGATAAAAAAAAAAAAGCTTGTTTTATATGGTTCACTTTAATAGAAGGGCTAGAAAGACATGGTGTATGTGTGAAATATTAAGAAAACAACAAAAAGAAAAATTAATGTAAGAAGAAAACAGAAGCCCAAGCAGAGGTTCAAATCCCACTCTTCATGGATGATTTTTCAGGAGAGTTGGCTTTTCAGCAGTGAGGGAGGCAATTTGATGGGAAAACGGCTCAGATAGACTACATATAAAGTATGTTTGAGGCATGGATGTGTTATCTACAGGGATAAGACTGGGTCAGGAAGACTGATAGTAGGTGAAAGGTCAAGTGCAGAAACTGGTCTTGGGATTATTAATGAATTGGCAACTATTGAAGGAAGAATATGTCTAATAAAAAAATTGAGTAGGGCATTGCCCCATTTAAAGGGTGGATATAGAAGAGGAAGTGCTACAGAGAACCTCTGGTTGAATAACCCCGGCTACATTATTAAACCCATAAGAGTGAATTGTTCTCTGGGCCTCAATAGCAGATTTAACAATATCTAGTAGACTTCACAACTGGAGATTATTGATGTCCATTCAAGAATAGTTTGAGACTAGCGCCAAGGGTAGAGTCCAGGTTACAGTGAGTTGAATTCTTGCTGTGGGAGCTAAGGGCATGTTGAGGATGAGTGCAGATAACGTGACCGAGAGTTTTAACTGTGATTGAAGCACAATTGAACTTTACTAATAAGAACCTGTCACGAAAAAGTAGCCTTTAAGAGAAACCCAAACATGCATTTGTCAAAGGCAGGGATGAAAGGGAGGGTTTGGAGAGGAGGACAAGAGAGACTAGAAGAATCGGGAAGCCAGAAGGTGCCTCAGCAGCATTGCCCTGCAGAGTAGGGGAGCGGGGGCAGTGGCTGGTGTGGACGGGACTAGGGTGACGGGTTAGGAGTTAGAAGTCAGCTCTGTGGTTATCCTCTGGCCACTTTGCTTGCCTGCTGGGATCAGGTCAGTGAATGTTGACAGGGGACCATGTGTGTGAAGTACAGAGTGAAGATTTGCAGTAGGCTTGCCAAAGGTAAAATAAGAGCATGAAGGAAATGGGCTTTAGCTAAGACTGGTTTGGAGGATTAGCCAATTGCGTGGGAAGACTCGGGGGCTGTTAGGAATACACGGGGGTAGGAAGAGCACAGGACTATGGTGATGGCACACGGGTGACTTGGTGATGGGAAACCCATGGGGATTACAATTGAGATGAAAAAAATGTACAAAATGATGTAAAATAAACTATTATATATAAAGAAAAAAAAGAATACATGGGGGTTCAGGCAGGTCTATGAACTCTGAAATACTGAACCTGAGGAGCAGGCTTAGGAGGAGAGGACTACATCAAAATACAGGAAGCTGGGATTCCCCATTTCTGGGCTGGAGAAGGACAGGTATGTCTGTGTCACTGAAGCTGACTGAAGGCGAGGTGACTGGAATTTGGGGTCTTGGGAGTGCTGGTCATGGTTTCTGCAGAGACATACCTCCTGGGTCTGAAGATACAGTTTGGGTGATGAAGACACTCTTAACTGACTTTTAAAATCTCCTGAATGAAATAATCAACTTGAGTAGGAGTCAAAATGGAAAATTCAAACAATTTGTTGCTGTGGGATTCCTAGAAACCAGCAGTTGGACATGGGACTTATTTTAGAGGTGCTATTAAGAAGTCCAAATGAATAGTCTTCCTTGGGGATGAGGAATCAAATCAGGGTAAGATCTCAACTTAGGGTACTTTCCAAATTTAGTTTCCCTTACCCTTTGCAAGAAGGTCGGGATGTTAGGAAATCATTCTCTGTGATTCACTTGTAACAACAATAAAAAAGGTGCAGATTGAGGTCTCCAGGCCACATTCGGGTTGTTTTTCCTGCATCCAAGCATTCTTCTGAAATCCATTAAAGCTGTTCCATGAGGCTGACTTTTCTTTTGCAAGTCCCCAGAATGTGGCCTTTTTACCTTGGCTGAAAACCCAAGGCAATTACCAGGGTGGCTTCCTTGTCTAATATAAGGCCACTTGGGGTGGTTCTGATGGGAAGCAGAAGCAGAAAGGGCTTGGGGACCGAGCAGCTTCCTATGATGAGTGTCTACAACATTGTGCAAAACTGACTCCCTCCTGTGTGTTTCAGGTGATATTTGAATCCGTCTCTCTGAAGGGTCATCCTGGCTACATCGCCGTGGACGAGGTCCGGGTCTTGGCTCATCCATGCAGTAAGTCTGTCCCCTCCTCCGATCGCAGCCTTGTTCCACATCAGCCCGGGCTGCCGGGAAACTGCAATCCCCCCCTATTCATTCAGCTCACAAACACATCTCACTCTCTTTTTTAATCCTTCAAAAATGCTTACACGTTCAATGCAATCAGTCCTGAATAAATCCGTAATTTTGCCGGCCTGTTCAACAGGCAGCACCTTGAGGAATTTGCAGAGCGTGGCAAAACATCTTCGTTTGAATCTCTCTTCATTATTAAGGGACTCTAAAGTCCTGATTGTTTATTAGTGGGATTCAGACCACTGAAGTGGAAGAATTAGAGGGCTTTGGATAGAATCTTGTGCAATTGTCTTAAAAAAAGAACACCACCAAAACACTGAGAAATTAGCACATTGTTCACTCACAGGGAAACGTACCCCAAAGCTATTAATTCTTTAAAAGTAATTTTAAATATACTCCTCAGCTCTGTGTAGGCGTAAGGAGAGCTTTCTCATGGTGGTTAGTCCTTCTGTCAAGAGTGCTCAGAGGCCCTGCAGGCCCGGCCACGTTCCCCTTGAGGGTCTCTCTTTGCTGGATTTAGTCCACCGTGTTTGAATGGGCTTAAATAAGGACCGTTAATTCCTGGGTTTTCTAAATATCAGAGAGAACCAGCCCTGTGTGCAGTATTTGAAATATTATGACATTTGTGTGGCTATGTGGGAGGTGACTCAAAGCTTAATGGATGGGGTGATAGCTAACTGGGCTAACTGGGCTAACTGGGTGTCTCTCCACATCCGTTAGCATTCTACTGATCGGAATCCCCATTTGTTTATGGTTCCAGGTACCTCCTGGTAAAGCTTTCTCTCCTTCCTTCTTCTAGCCCTACTCATGCTGTTGACCTCGGTGCAGTTTGCTATGCCTTCATGAGATGTCCTGTCCTGTGCCTTTCAGTCCTCCTATTTAGGGGTCATTCTCATTCCAACCCCCTCTATCTTGCTTTCAATGAAAAGACTCTCTAGTTCCACTGCAGTGAGCTTGTCAATGCCTCCAATCTCAATATTCCCTCCCTTGGCACAAGAATGCACCATCACTGGAGGAATTTGGGACAAGTTCCCAGGGCTTTAGCAAGACAGCATTTTGGGTAAATGTGATCACTCCCTGTACCAAACAGTCTTCCTTCCCAGAAATCAGCCTTTTTCCTAAGTGCTTAGCTTCAGCTAGACCCTCCATTAGTGTGGCCTGACATCCTTACTCTCTGGTCACTTCCTGAGTCTGGGATTTTTCTCAGATGTGTCTATCCTCTCAGTCATGTCTGGCAAATATTTCTGTAGGATTGTATCTCATGTGAAGAGAGTCCTAGAACCACCCAGCTGTGCAGGGGTTTTTGAGTAGATGAGTTTCCTCTCACCAGAATTCAGTCTTTCCCTCGCTTGACTCCTAAGAATCTGCACCAGTTGCCCATTGGAGAATGGCCTTCAGTCTTGGGCTGGGCTGACATGGTGGGTGGTGCCTGCTCTGAGTATGAACACTTACCCACACATGCCCCACCCTCTGCAGCCCCAAGGTGTGCAGTCTCTCTGAAACTAATCTCAGTCTCTCCCAAGCTTCCCCTAGAGGACACTCATCTTGACTCATTTCTGCTTGCCCTGTGCTTGATGCTTCCACTTGCTCTTTCTAGTATGGGTATGTGTTTCCCGCCAGAGATTCAGGCCTGACTCTCCTTGGGACACCCACAGCCTGCTCTAAAGAGATTGTTCACCTCCACCATGAGGCCCACCCTTACAGCTCTCTCTTGACCCAGCCTCAGCTTGGCCTTAACTCCAAGTCTCAGCTTGGCCTTAACTCCAAGCACTGTGCATGGTCTGCCTTGACAGCCAAGTGCTTCTTTCTCCCTAAGAAATGTCCACAGGAGATGGTTCTCTGTGGAATTTGGATGCTGCCTTTCTACCCACAAAGCTCATGGCTCCTTTCAGAATTGTAAGGGTTGCTCCTGAATTTTGGCTTCTCCTGGCTGCCTCGACACCTCCTGCCGAGGAGTGTAGATTGCTTGCTTGTGGAATCACTGAGAGCCAGGTACCCCACAAATGAGCCACGAGATACAGCTCAGGAAATTTGACCCTGGCTGTGTTCCTGCGAGTTGTGCTTTGGCTGAGTTCCACCCTGATGCTCAGGTGACTTAAGCTTAAATTACTCAGAAATCAAAATGTGATCATTTTGATATCACAGAAATCAATTCTGTGATAGTGGCCGGAGTTGGAAAAAATCCATTTAAGCATATGCACAAATACTGGAAATGGAGCTAACTCCTCAGAGGTGGGTCCACAGCTCCTGAGGAGTTTGGTGGGGTCTACAGAAGCCCCTTCCCAAGACCTGGCTCAGTCCGTATCCAGTCTGAGTTTCTGTTTAACCTTTCTTTCAACAAAGAAATGATTGAGCACCAGAACTTCTGCTGGACTTAGGAGATACTGAAGTGATCACAGCAGGTTAGGTCCTTGTTCTATGGTGTTAACGTAGCACAGGGGCAGAGGCAGGGGAGATAGAAATAGGTGGCTGATATTAAATAGTAACTGACATTAAATAAAGGATTGATATCGTTTCAGACAGTGTTCATAGACAGGGGTGTGGGCAGGGCCCACAGAGAGTGTGGCGTCTTTGAAGGTGTGTTCTGAGCTGAGACCTGGGTTGTGGAAGGCCGTTCTCTGCGCAGGGAGCTTTTCGGTAAGCGCAGCAAGCACAGATCTGCTTGCTGCTGTCAGATCATCCCGGGGAAAGAGATCTGAGGGACTGTTGGGGGTTGGGGAAGTGGGCCTGACCCTCCAGGGCCCTGGATGTTATGACCAATTTAGACTTTTAATCTAAGAGCAGGAAGGTGTCACTGGAGGGATTTGTGCTGGGGCAAGTGTGAAGGGAGTTATGCCACCTCACATACTTGCTAAAAGATCACTTTGGATGCTCTGTGGAAATTGAGTTGAAGGGAATGGAGAAATCCAGACAACTGTTAGGAAATAAGTTCGGAGTCACGGAACAGAGGGTGGTGGCCTGACCAGGGTGTTTTTGGGCGTCTACTTACCATCTGATGCGTTTGATGAGCGTGTACTCAGTGGAGGGGCAGCCCAGGCGCTGTTCTGAGTGAGGCAGATTCACCATCTGCCCTCATGGGGCTGCGACCAAAATTGGCGACACAGACAATGAAACAAATAATCAGATCACCTGATCTGTGACAGATGGTGCATGAGTTTGCTAAGGGTGCATGAAATGCCACAGACTGGGTGACTGAGTTGTCGAGGCTCAGAGGCCCCGCCTGGGTGTCCAGGACACAGTCTAGTCTCCACCGTCCTCCGCGCGGGCTTGGGCTCGCTCTGTGCCCTCTGAGCACACACGGGCCTTTCCTCTTCGTACAAGAACACTTCTCAGGCTGGAAGAGCACCCACCTTAATCACCTCACTGTATCATAGTATTCCTCTGTCAATTCCTGGTCTCCATACACAGCCACAGTCTGGGAGACTGAGCTTGAGCCTCCAGTATGTGAACTGAGGATCCAAAGGGCAGTGCCGTGATGAGCCACAGAGCAGGGGGCTGGGTCAGTGGTGCAGGTAGGAGGGAGAGGTGGCTGGTGTTGTTGGAGGGTAGGATTGGGGGTGGGGGGGTTACAGAGGGTGCCTGCTCAGGTTCCTGGCCTGCGTGGCTGGGTGGTGCAGGCTGAAGGTGGTAGCGTCAGGGAGAATGGGCACCAAGGTGGGAACCACAGAGGAGCAATGGGGCAGCGCGTGGGGTCCGAGGTGATGCACCTGCCGGGGCTTCTGCATGCCCTTTGACTCACTGCTGCCCTCTAGCTTTAGCATGAATGCGTTTATGGCTTCAAGCTAGACTTAAAAACTGAACTATGGGGCCCTCCCTGGTGGCGCAGCGGGTTAAAGCACAGCACTGAGAAGCTAAAGCCACTTACACATGAGTTCGATCCCCGCCTGCCCCGGAGGTGACCCACATGGCGCGGCAGACCTCTCCTGACCCGCCCGCTGCTCCCCTCAGCAGTGTACTTTGTTGATCTGCCTGTTCTGCTCCCCACTCTGTCTCTGGTGAATCCTATCACCCTCCACATCTCTGGCCCGTACCCCAACTCTGTATGAAAAAAAAAAAAAAAATTTTAAAAAAAAAAAAACAAAACTGGACTATGTTCAGAAATAGGCGCTCTCTTTATGTCCTCAGGCTTTTAAATTCTCCACGTCTGTCTTCCAAAGCAGGTTTTCTATCAACACATGGCCAGCATCTATCAATAAGCGAGTCACTAAGTATGCCAGCGTTCCAGGGAGGCAGTGTGTGATTTGCAATTGTATTCCATCGATTTGGGCTGGACTTTTGGATTTTAGAGGCGGCCTCACAGCTTCCAATACCAAACCACACGACGAGTGCAATACGCAGAGGAAATTATTTTTTCTTACACACTGAAAACTCTCGCCTGTATTTTATAGCCCATTTAACGTTTTTGTGTTATTCTCAAAGTATTTTAGCCACAGTTACCCTCTGTGGCTGTTTCTTGGTATTAGCCATGAGAGGGGCCACTGTGCTTATAACCGTGTGTGATAAATGTCAGCACAATTTTCCACCCCATTTTGAAGTTTCTAGCTCCTGTGTTGACTTTTAGCATTTTTTTTTTTGAGTTTTTTTCTTTTTTCCATCCCAACCTCACAGGGCTGCATCTCTGGGCCCTTGGATGGTCTGCGGCACGTACAGGGCTCTCTCTATCGTCTGGCTTCCTCCTGTGCGCTGTTGGGTTTAAAGAGCCAGATAAAGGGCACAGTAATGTGTCTTCAAATGCAGTACTGACATCTGCAGGAGTTTAAATGTCACAAACATCAAAGCATTTTGCCCCAAATGCACAGCCAGGTTTTGTGAACCCCAAACGACAAACTGGTGGCTGGTCTGCACCTCAGGTTCCACTGTGTTTTTCAGAAGGTTTCTGACTTAAAGCTGCAGGCATCCTACCTACCCAGAGCCATCACTGTAGGAGGAGTTGCTCTCGAGAG